CTCACATGCCATGCGGGATCGGCACGTAGGGATTCGAACACTGGAAGCTACGGGGACCAGCGGTAAGGACGTGGTGCAATTTCAGTGTACGTACTTACGAGCGAGCTAATGACAAGCTCATCGGGAACGACCTTTGCAAGAGCGCCCAACGCGAATGATGCCTCTCTTCTGACCCAGTAGACTGGATCTCTTCCGACCCGTTCAACTTCTCTTACGAAAGCGCGTTGAGTATCGAGTCTCGGCGTGCCTACAAGGGATGTATTAGCATGATGTTTGTTTTCGATATGATACGTACCCCCAGCAACTACAGCAGCAATCAGACTCATGCTTGACAGTCGTCCAACAGCGGCTTGTTCTCCAGGATCAATTTCTTCTCCCTCTTCGCCCATCTCAACATCCGAATGTGACGGTTGAGCATAGCTCGTAGCAGACGCTATACCTCCTTGCCATGATCCTTCGCCAGTTGCCTGAAGGGGGCTGAGTTGACGATCGTCCTCCAGGTGAATAGATATGGCAGCAATGGGAGATGTGTCCCCTCCAACAATTTCGGCTTCATGATATGGTGGAGGTACACCAATTGGTGGGCTAGGGAGAGGAAAAACAAGAGCAGGCGGCGTTACGGGAGCGCTTATTGTTGAAGACGGTGGTGTTTGCGCGGTGGGAAAATACGGATTGACAAAACTGTCACTCGGCGAAGGATCATTGGGTTGAGGGAGCTCTATAGCGGGTGTATACCACACATCGTCAGCATCATTTTCATCTGATTCAAGGCGTCCCATTCCTATAACAAGTTGCTGGATGACCTCTTCTTCGAATAGGCTCCTTTCGTGTCTCCCAAACAACCCATGAGATGGATCATCAGCGTGGTGGTCTCCGAGATCGTCAGCTCTATGTATTCTTGCCAGTAATTCAACAATGGCGAATCTCGTAGAGCCACTGACAACTCCATTTGAGCTCAGCAGGAGTGTTGCTAGAATAGGAGTGAAAGCCTGGACTGAAATTAACGTGACTTCATCGTCAGACAGAGGCTGAGGAACGAATTCGGCATTAGACAAGTCACTTGGCTCTTCAATCAGGCGGCAATTCTGCATATACGTGTTCAATGACACGAAGTTGAATTTGATTACGAGATGAAACCGACCGTTAGAAACCACCACATGATGGAAACAAGCTCCGCTGATAGAGCCTCTTTCACTGCCTCATCTAAAAAGATCATCAAATGCGGGTAACACGATCATTGCCAATGAACACACCTTCATCCACAGCCAAACTAGGGAGCAGTGGTAGGACATACTCGACAGCCTCTAGGGGCGATACCTGCGCTAAGAAGGCTGGTAGAGCATGTGAAATAAATACCCTGTGCCCAATGCTTGGCTCTCAGCAATATTTCAGGTGCTATAGTTACCCGATACTTACCTGTGATGCGCTGATCTACTACGAGAAAAAAGGTATATCTTCTCAAGGGTACTTAAACCCTCGTCATCGAGGGTGAAATCTAGTGCAAAGTCAGGGGATGAAAGTGCCTCGGGTGGTGGTATCGTTTCGAGTTCAACGGATGCTAACAATTGACGACTGAGCGGTGGCGATGGCGGACTGGAATTACCAAAAGTAGGGGGAGGCAGTGGATCCGGTGGTGGATCTTCGCCTTGTGGAGAAGTAACAGGTGTAGAAGGAGCCGTATGGAACGAAAGTGTTGGTGATAGCGGAGGCGAGTCAAAAGGATTCTCTGTCGGACAAGGCGAAATGACAGTCGGGGTTGCGAAGGCGCCCAACACATCCGGAGGAATCAGATGTATATGGGAAGGAGGAGCCGATGTGCGTGGGTGAGGGTCCCGGACGGTATCTTCTGAGACGGGTTCGCGTGAGGTTGGATTGCTGTGTTGAATATTGACAAGAGACACTACATTACCCATGGTGGCGTAAGGTACAACTGAAAAAAAATAGAAAGAAGATGAAGAACGGACTTTGGAAGAGGCCTTTCTATAAGGCCCTTGAGCAAGCACCGCGGGTGATGAAGTGAGGGGGACACGAGGACAACGGGCTGGTCCAGTAAAAGAGCGAATTAAGGAATGACGCAAGGCCACAATGCAGCAAGTGAATCTGGTTAGTTTAGCACAAGTTCATCACAGAAAAATACAAACGCATTACTGAAGTACTGCAGATGGAGACTTTGCACCGTGGTGAATGACGATCACGGTGAAAATTTCAAATATGCAGCAGTAGCCCGGGGGTGAACGTTTGAACAGCGTCGGATGCGAGGAAAGATGAGAACGGGACCGGCGAAAGGGTTGAAGTAACAAAGAAAGGCAAGAAAGAAACAAGAAACCGAAAAGAACAAGAAGGTACCTGACAGTGGAGGACAAGATTGTAAATTAGCACGAAATTGGCACCGCGGAAAATGGGATGATAGTGAGGCAAGTCCAGAATCGGAACAGTCATCCTGATGTCATCGTCGGCTATATTAGTCCACAAAGGCACATCATATGACGTCACAAGACGTGTTCCCCGGTATTCTATTCCTTTCTTTCCTCACGATCTCCGAATTCCGCCATCGGATGATCGCTATGTTGACCTACAGCTCGGAGCTCCTCCTCCAAGCTCAGAACCCACGCGATTAAGTTTTCTTTGAAATTAACCCCCTCATTAGCCTAGTCCTCGTTCCCAGCTGGATTCCGTTCCACCCCGTGGCACGCGTCCACGGCATGTCCCAACGTCATACGTAACTAAAATCAAGAACATGTCAACCTGCTTGAAAGTTGATAATATGGGTCCAACTTGCAGTTTCCTTTCGATAAAACGACTACTTGCATGTTCAATATGACAAACGATCTTGATGTCACCGTTTCAGTCCTCAAATGATAGGGCACTGTCCTCGAATGCTATTCCTCACGTCGTGATCGCAGTCCATATTCAAATTGACTCGCTAGGCGTGCACCATGGGAGGTTGATCTTTTTTTACTCAGGACTCGCCTACTATCTTCCCGATTCCCGATGCTCGGTCTCACTCTACTCTAGCGCTCAGGGCGATGGTAGCCGGCCATAGTAAGCAATTCAGGGGTTGAACTTGACAAAGGGCTTGGTGGATCCTCCACTGAACCCATTCAAGTAACCTGTTGGGGCCCTGAAACCTGTAAGAAACAAGCCTCCTAGGTAATTGTCCACCTTTCCGGAGATGGCCTGCACGCCAGCGGCGTGTCCTCCTGCAATAGCGGGCGACTTACGGCGACCAAGGAGTTTCGCGTACCCGCAGTGAACTCTTGCAAACCCTTGATGGCGAGAGATCGAGGTTATAATAATGGGAGCGGCAAGGTGACGTAGTGGCATGGCGAAGAGGTAATGCCAACAGTGTCTCTTGTCGACATTCTCGTTAATCTTCTGTGGTGCCGCAGCCGCCTTATTCGTCATCGTCGGCGAACAAGAACACAGACTTCTCGCAGCTTGTGCGCCAGTGAAAGGGGAACATAATTCTGGACAGAGCAACGTAACCATGGACAATTTATACACCTACCTTGTTTTAAATTTGTCCTCGTGGTTCAATCATGCTTAGCTCCGAGGTAAGTGTCGTTGCAGATGTTCGCCAAATGACGCCATCGGCCGACCCCGGATATACAAGTAACATCGTTGTTGACGCCGCGGATTCCGCCCGCATCTCCAGGGACAGCCCACCTGTGATCTATTATCACGAGACAGAAACGATACAACGGGTGCGAAAGGAAATCGGATAATAATGAACTGATCGTAGAGTCACCACCGTCAGTTCCATCATTGTCCGATTTTCTTTCAAAAAATCAGGCAAATAAATATATGAAAAAGGACACAGACACCCAAGCGCGAAGTGACAAGTCCAGCATACATATCTCGTCGTGTATGTGAGTGAAAATCTATTACAAAACCAAGTTACAAACAGTACAACCCACGACAGATCAAGTGTCCTATGAGCTGAAGGAGAGGCGACCGGAGGTATCACTATTGTGGCAAGAGGGGATAGGTTGGATGGGAACACAATAGATAGAAGATCAAGTAATGTAGGATCAGACTAAATGGTAGGATGTGGGGAGATGCTGATAATGCAAAGGCCAGCAAATGAAAATGAGGTCCGAAAGTGAATAGCATCATGCAGTCGCCATCTTCGAAGCCACAGTGCGTTCGCTCTCTAGCTTCGCCTTGTTGCGCTCGAAGGCTTGCTGCCGGCAATCCTCCAAGTTATTGCAATTATGATGTTCAGGCAGGCGATGCTGTAAGGTTTGGGTTTACATGAGTGACAGAACGGAGTGAGCAATCTACTCACCGCTCCACAGAATTCCGCTCTGCAATGTGGGCATTGTCCGACTATGCGCAGTGCTGCTGAATTGCAAGGAGCCTCGGACTGAAATTGACAACGCTTCTTAGCAGGCATGATGGGTGAGCGATCTGCTTGTAAAAATCTGCGTGTTACGTCTATGAGCTAGACATCAGATTTAAAGGAAGAGACCTACTGTGGGGAGCGGAAAACCGTGGAGAGAGAGTCGAATATAAACGGTGGTGGTGGCAGGAGGGGATGGGTGGTGGGTGTACTCTCGGTCTTATAAACGCACAGCTTCGGCGACGCGTCAGCCATGCAACTTGCTAAGCCACCCAAAATAGTTACTATGCTGTACCACGTGCACGTGACTTGGAAGAATGCAGAGACGTTCCCGCTTCGGAACACTTCTGCATTCGTGGGCAACCCTTGAGAAGTAAAGTTCTGGAAAATACTTCTGGCTAAGGGTGTTCCATTGCGAAAAAAAAAACCGTAGTGCACGGTGGGCACTCTCCCGAAGGAGCTTCCTTGGAGCTATCGGGATTCGGTAGCAGCAATAGAGCGATCGGGAATCGGTAGTAACATGAGAGCGGATCCAAGTTCGATCCAAGTTATTATCGGTGTTGACGAACAAATAAATTTTAATAAGTTGTTATAAAGTAGCAGAACAACAACGCTAGTCAGCCCCAATGATTCAAAATCCGACAAATACAAAAAGTTATTCGGATACCGGGAGTCGAACCCGGGGCCGCTGTGTGAAAGACAGCAATGTTAACCGTTACACCATATCCGAGTTGTATGTATGATTTTCGTTGCCTTCTTGAGGTTTCGGCGCATAGATTGTATTGACCCGGCTCGCGTATGTGATTTAGCACTATCTTTTTTTATCATCAACAAAACGATGACCGATCAACCCACAAAACAAAAGCTATGGGGTGGAAGGTTTACTGGCAAAACGGATCCTCTGTACGCATATGGCTCGTAATGCATCGCTGATGTTCTGATCGGCTTAAAGGATGCATGCATTTAACCAGTCCCTCAAATATGATCAAAGGATGCATGCCGCCGATATTCGTGGTTCCATTGCCTACGCAAAGGCTCTCCGACGTGTCGGTCTTCTTACCGAGGAAGAGGAGACCACAATGATCCAAGGTTTAGATGCTGTCGGTCGAGAATGGGAAAACGGTCAAGTACGTGCCTTGGTTCACAATTTTGTTTAGTCCAGCATTCAATTCATCGTCCAATCCGGCTTTGTGTCACAGTTCCAGCCTGCCCCTGATGATGAGGATATCCACACTGCAAACGAACGCAGACTGAGCGAGCTGATTGGAACACTCGGCGGAAAACTTCATACTGGACGGTCTCGCAATGATCAAGTTGCGACAGACATGCGTCTTTGGCTTCTCGATGAAGTGGATGATATTGAATCCAGTCTCAAAGGTCTCGTGCGTATCATGGTAGAGCGTGCAGACAAGGAGAGAGATATTCTCCTCCCCGGATACACACATCTCCAAGTGGGTATATACTTTTCATACAAGTGGGTCGCTCACCGTAAGGCAGCGAGGTCAACCCATTCGGTGGTCACACTTCCTTTTGTCGCACGCCTTTTCGTTCCGTAGCGATCTTGAGCGACTTCAGCAACTCATTCCTCGTATTTCTGTGCTGCCGCTCGGAAGTGGTGCCTTGGCTGGTAACCCATTTACGATCGATCGCGAATTTCTTGCGAAAGAGTTGAAATTCGCTTCACTTGCTGAAAACAGTATGTGGGGTGTCGGCGATCGCGACTTCATCGTCGAATTTTTGATGTGGTCCAGCCTTACCATGACCCACATGAGCCGTCTGGCTGAGGATTTGATCATATACTCCACAGCCGAATTCGGCTTTGTCACTCTCAGCGATGCATACAGGTGTGTATTATGCACTGACAAGAGTTACGGCGTTATCTCATCTTTGCTTTAGCACCGGCTCGAGCATTATGCCCCAGAAGAAGAACCCAGATTCCCTTGAATTATTGCGAGGAAAGTCTGGGCGCATATTTGGCAATGTGCGTCTCGTAGTGATGTGGTGCTATTAACTTCCACGAGCGCAGCACATTTTCTAGATGGCAGGTTTCGTGATGACGCTCAAGGGTTTACCGTCGACATACAACAAAGATCTCCAGGAAGACAAGGAACCTCTATTTGATACTGTCGACAACGTCTCTGCATCGCTCAAGATCGCAGAGGGTGTCATAGCGACCATGGAGGTCTGTCCGATTTTGTCATTTCTTTGCTTCTCGATGACATGGCGGCCAAAATAGGTCCATGGCGAAAGAATGCGACAAGCCTTGACCATGGATGTCCTTGCTACTGATCTCGCTGATTATCTCGTCCGGAAAGGGGTTCGTACTCTTCTGGTTTCACACATATAGGTTATCGACGATTGACGACCGAGTAGGTACCCTTCCGCGAGACGCACCACGTTTCTGGTCGTGCCGTCGCTCTGGCTGAGACAAGAAAATGCCAGCTGAATGAATTGTCTGTCGAGGACTACAAGAGTCTGCACGAACAGTTCTCTGAGGATGTGGTCAAAGTCTTTGACTTTGAAGCCAGCGTCGAGAGAAGGGCATCAATTGGTGGACCAAGCCGCATCACTCTGGATAGGCAGATCGCCGTTTTGCGAGCAGCGCTTGGCTAATGTAGAGGTTGATCGATATCCTGCATATATCCCAACGATTTACCATTACTGTTACAGATCAACGGAAGTCAATGAATAACGAAATAGCTGCCTTACGAAAGCGTACTGCAGTATCACAAGTGGATCATCTGCGGCGGATACATTGGCAATATCATTGGAAGTGTCACGAGTGCCACATTTCCTTTGGAATACTACCATCCTTCCATGGGAATGTAAAATTAGCATAGCGGGAAGCAGCCAAGCAATTCACCTGAATAAGGACTCGCGATCCTATGCAGTCGACAAAGATACATACGGCACCAGTAATGAGCTGTTCTCATGCCACATACCTGTACCACTGCAATTGTTCCTGTGCAGGCGGACCCATTTGAGATAGCGGCCCTAAGAGCCCTGCATTGATAACATTATGATCTAAGCGCTAGTGGAGATATTCGTCATACTACCATGTACCACTGATGGAATTGGCTGTGGGTCATTGGAGGCTGAGCGGTCGACATTGTGAGGCGGCAAATGATTCTGCTGCTGACCGGCGTTCAGTGCGTCTACCCGCCATGTCACTTACCGGAAGTTGCAGCTGGAAAACGATACTAAATTAATAATACTTGATACCGACATGTCGATGTCATTGATTAAACCCATGCAACATCAATGGTTTATTGGGATGCAGCGCGAGTCTCTGCATCCTGAAGGACACTCAACTGAGTCAACCGTGACGGCCTGTTTAGGTTGCATGGATCCCTGCAGCACGACGTGTATTGCGCATATCTCTTCTGTCAGAGGCACGCTCGAGTTGGGGCTTGCGCAATTTGGGACTCCCGGAGCGCTCCTGGTGCTCACTGCTCATGGAGAGATCATTTCACTTCAATCAATGGCTATGCACCGGGCCTTATTTGCTGCGATTTGTGGCTGTGCTGCGCTTCGTACTGCCTTCCCTTAAGGTCGCGTAACGTTCGTAACAGCTAATCCAGTTCTTGTGAACATTTTTCCTCTACCACACTCGCCGGGAACACTGTACTCTGTCATCCGACATCTGTAGGTAACAAGCAGCTTGGAATTGACCATACCATTCTCCTCTGCCTTTTTTTCAACACACCTGACGACACAACGTTAACATGGATAGGTTGGCCGCAATGAGAGTGCGTCTATCCCTTTTCAAACTAAAAGTGGGAAACTGATATTTTAATTTGCACTGCAGGCTCAACAGGGCGGGTGAGTCTGCACATCATTCCAAGTACTTTACCAGCCCTTCTGACTTCTTTGGATCTATGCAAGCAGTTCATACGACTCTGGCTATCAAAGAGAAAATCCATTTGCCAGGCAAGACGACACCGCATACGAGATGGCTGATGTGACTAGCTCAACGAACCTGACTTCCGGGGGTGGTGGCATGCCAGCATTTTATTCGGAGGTGAGCACTTCTCCATAGAAGTTATGGCGGCAGCCACCCAATTAAACGCATTTACCAACTAGATTTCATCAATCCAAGATAGCATCAAAACTTTCAATGCCAACGTTTCCCACATTGACGAGCTGCACTCTCGCTCACTGAACCAGACGGATGATGCTGCTGCGCAGCACAACGCAACACAGCTAGAGGAACTTGTGGAGGATACAAGCACTCTGAGCTCGACACTCAAGCGTCGTATCCAGGCCTTAGAGAGACAGGGAGGCAGCGGGCGTGATGGCCAGATTCGCACACAACAAGTGTGTGCCGTTTTCAACAGTGACACGTTGGTAGCTAAATTCGCTTCTAGACTGCTCTCGTCAAGTCGAAGTTTGTCGATGCCATCCAATCATACCAGACTGTCGAGCAGCAATACCGCCAAAAGTACAAGCAACGGATGGAGAGACAGTTTAAGATTGGTACAATGGATGCATTATTCCTTGTCCGTCGCTCACTGTAATCCTGTAGTTAAACCGGACGCTACGCCTGAAGAAGTTCGGGCTGTCGTAAACGACGAGAATGGCGGGCAAATATTCAGCCAAGCTGTAAGTGTCTAGATTGCTTTCTTCGAACAAATTCTCATTGGTGAACTAGTTAATGAACTCCAACCGATACGGCGAATCAAGAGCTGCATACAGGGAAGTACAGGACCGACACCAGGATATCAAGCGTATTGAGCAAACCATTGCGGAGCTTGCTCAGCTCTTCAATGATGTGCGTTTCAAAATGCACTGCCAAGTTGGCTATTTATGTTAACCTCACTATTTCAGATGAGTATGATGGTAGAGCAGCAAGACGACACCATCAATACGATCCAAGCAACGGCAGAATTGGTTGAAAAAGATACGGAAGCCGGGTAATTTTTCTCCTTGGAGCACTGGCATAGTTGCTAACCATTTCGGCAGCCTCAAGCACACAGACAAAGCTGTTGTATCAGCTCGCTCCGCCCGCAAAAAGCGATGGATTTGCTTCATCCTTCTGCTTGTCATCATCGCAATTATTGCCATCATCGTGGTGGTGGTCATCAAGAACAATAGCAGCACCAAGTAAATGTCTGCTTGTGATTTGCCATCCTATTCCACCGCCTTATCTATGGGACATATACCGCAGCCTAACTGCACACCACGCTCTTTACTACATTTATCTCGTTTATCAATCTACTGGACGCTTGACAACTTTCCATTAGGCTGTACGTAGCCATGACTGCAGCGATTTTTACTACAACATATTGACCTTGATAATGACATTTCGGATGACATCAATCCATAAATGAATCCTCATCTATATTGTCACGCTGTATTGTCAACACCAAACTTTACACGATGATTCGTGGTATAAATCTTCTCTAACGATGGATTGCGTTCACAAGACGGAAGCAACGCCAAGCGACGAAGGAGACGAATGCGTAGATACCAATGCGGATGTTAAGTGGGTTATCCGTTAGGAAAGGGTATGGGACTGAATAATCAGGTATTTAACTGTCAGTAATGCGTAACCGAAGGAAAATATAGAATACTAACATGTTTTGTTGTAGCTGGCGCAATATTCTACCCAACAAGCATACCAAGTCCCAGCAAGGAAAGCAACAAGAGGCGCACCGAGTTGAACTTGCTTTTTGGTATATTTCTTCTCGAACAGAAGAAAATCTGCAAGGAGTGTGACAACAGGAGCAA